GGAATTGAACTCATGCGGAAGTGGCTTCAGATTCTCAGTGCTGTGCTTTAACCCGCTGCGCCACCAGGGAGGGCCTAACCCTTATAATTTTTATTAAAATTCCAAGTCTTAAATTTAGTGAATAAGGAACTTACTGTGCAAATTATTCAACAATTCACAAATACTTTCCTTATGTCATGGATCATGTTTTACCTATATTCCTTATATTATGGGTTTTATATATTCTATGAGGTTAAACATTTCTAATTTGTATAAAATATCTTTTTGGTTAGGTCACAATAGAATTGATAAAACAATTACTGAAATTTTTAAAAGAAACCTTTCCAAAATTCTTCCTTTGACAGGAACAGTAAAAAAAATTTCAGATGAATTCTAGCTATGTGAAAGAAAATACAATAAAGTGTTTTACATACTTTGACACAGAGAAACACACAGGACAAAAAGGAGTGAGATGCTTACCAATTTAGCAATAATGAGTGCGTCATTCATGAGGTCCAGCAGGGGAGTCTCTGTGTGAATGTTATAGAAGGAGTAGGCAGCCTTGAGGCTCTTGTGAGCAGGGTGGTGCATGACTGTGGAGGGGAGTGTGTAGAAGCTCAGGAAGTCAGTTAGTTTACCAGTGGAGTTCTAAAGAACAAAGGTAATGTCAGGTAAATATCTCCTTAAACGAACTAGCTATGCTTATAAGCTAATTTTTTGAAAGGACTAGTACCATAACTGTCAAAATGCAAAGTGACAACTCAGACTTTTCCTTGATTTAGGGCTCCATATGGTATGATAGGTAGGGGCCAAGAGGAGCACAGATTTGTTCTTGAGCCTAAGTGCAAGTTGGCAATTTGCATAAAGTTCTTAAAAAATATGACTTGTAAAAGGAAAGCTTCCTATGGTTGAATGAGACTTTCAAGACTTAATGAACAGTGATAAAAGTAGATTGCTTTTGCAGAAATGAGTGTGCTAGGGACTAGATGCCTACCTTCTCCAGCCCAAAGATACTGTGTAATATCTATCATTACCTTGCATAACGCAAGAATTTTATCAGCTTAAAGTGAAGTTGGATAGAGTTTAGAAGTTTCTGAAAGAGAAACTCCAAAATGTACTCATGAAACAATATGAAAATATCAAAATTAAAAAGGACACAAAAGATGGTATTCATTTCATTCTCACTGGTATACCAATACAAGAAGTCAGCCAGTATTGTTTGGGCTTTTTAATGAGCTGCGGTGACCTTTGCAGACTCTGTGTTTGAACTATGTAATTCAAACTATGATATTTGAATTGTGTGGCTGAAGAACCATGTATATGCCATTTTTCTTTTATGAAAGTATTTCTTTTATCAGAGAAGCAAAAAGGGTGGATATCTACTTTTTAAAAAAAACAAAAAAGATTTTATTTATGCTTACAGAACTGGGGTACAGGCCTGAGTTGTGGTGGGTGAGAGGATTCACCAGAGACAGAGTGGGGAGCAGAAGAGGCAGATCTACTGAAGTACACTGCTGAGGGGAGCAGCGGGCGAGACAGGAGAGGTCTGCCACGTCATGTGGGTCAGCTCCCTGGCCCGGGATCAAACTTGTGCTGCAGTGGCTTCGCAGAGCTTCATAATGCTGTGCTTTAACCCGTTGTGCCACCAGGGAGAGCCCGGATATCTACTTTTAAGAAGTACTTCTGATTCATCAAATGTCCCAGACATTAAGCTAACCCTCTTTTGCTCAGTATTAGCAGCTCAGATTAGAGATGAATTAGAGACCAGCAATGTCGGCCCTAACAAGAATTTTCAACTTGAAAAATACCACAACAAATTCAAAACAAAAACACCTCAATTGATGGGTCCAACAGTAGTGTGATTACAGAGAACAGAAGAATTCAGTAACATTTACCCAATCTGAATGATAAGAGATAAAAGACTGAAAAAAAAAATAAGCTTCAGAGATCTATGAAGCAATAAGTAAAGATTCAAAATTCATGTCATTGGAGAGACAGAAGAAAATGAGAAAAGGTAGGGCTCAATGAGCACTTAAGGAAATAAGGGTTAGAAAACTCCCCAACACACACACAACAGAGTCAAGGAGATCTGTGAACTCCAACAGAGTAAACACTAGAATTTCTGGCCAAATAAAAGCACAATTAAATTTCCAAAAACTAAAGATAAAGAAAAATCTTGGAAGTAGCCACAACAATACAGTCCATTCCCCTGGGGCTACCGATTCAAATGATTGCAAATTTCTTATTCAGAAACAACAGAATAGAGAGGAAGTGGTTCAGTATTATTTATGCACTTAAAAAAAAAAACTATTAACTGGGAGTTCTATATCTGATATAACAGTCCAGGAAAAAAAGGGTAAATAAGGATATTCTCAGGCTAATAAGGCTAAAAGATACTATTATTAGCAGACATTCTGTTAAGATAAGCCAAAGGATAAAATAAAAGAAGGCACCTTGGATCATCAGAAAGGACCATAGAAAGAAAAATCTGGTATATACTATATACACGATCTACTTCTTTCTCTTTGTGGATTTTATAAACTTACTTGAATATTAAAATAGAAATCATAACAATTAGATATCCAGATATTTAAAAGGCAAGAAGGTAAAGGGACAGGGTGAAAGTGAAGTCACTTGAACTGGGAAAATATGGAGAAATGTGAAGCTATCAGACCACAAAAAAATTAGATAGTCACAATGAAATAGCCAGAGTGAACATGACAAAAACTAATCAGCTATACATCAATCAAAGTAGAATATAAAGAAAATATTCAAGTAGCCTACAGGAAGGCAAGGAAAAAGGACTGAGGGAACACATCAACACTAATAAGGCAGACTTAATGTATTATTATGTTTCTATATTAGTAATAATATTAATATTATATAACTATAGTATATTAACATATTAATACGACATTAATATATTAATATGTTATATTAATATAATATGGCCTCACATTTGTCCACATTTTCCCACTTCAAGTGAATTCACTTCCACCTTGTCCTTTTACCTTCTTGCCTTTTAAATATCTTGATATCTGTTATAATCTCTATTTTAATATTCAAGTAGGTTTATAAAACTCACAAAGAGAAGTAGACAGTGTATAGTATATACCAGATTTCTCTTTATATGTTCCTTTCTTTCTGATGATCCAAAGTTATCCAAAATCAGCAGCAAATAGGCCACTCCACAAGGGAGTGAGCCCCCTCCCAAAGAGAAAAGGGCTGTTGTCAGGGCAGTCTCTGCACTGGCTTAGGACAGCAGTCCTATGCCTATGCAGGTGCTTCTGTCCTCCCACTCTCTCCCTCCCCAGGGCAGCGGCCTCCTGCCTGCCTGTGTCCTGTACCTGCCGGGCTTCTCTGCACTGACCTCCCTCAGAGAAGGCTGTTCTCCTAAGGCCCCCTGCCTGCAACCATGCAAGCCTCTCTCAGCAAACCTACCCCTTTGAGGTAGCTCTTCCAGACCACTTGTGTCTATGCAAGTGTCCTCTGTCTGTCTCTGCTCCTAATAAACCTGCTCTCTAATATAACTCAGTCTTGTGGAGAAATGTGCCAGGGAACATGCCAAGTGCCACTGAAAGGGGAGCTCTGGTCGAAACATTCCCAGAGTGAACCCAAGGACCCTGAACTCCAAAAATGACATCAACAGCAGTGGCAGCAGAAAGATACTCTGGTTCCCCATAAGTAAGTAGTGTAAGTGTATTACTTATGTTTATCCAGGACAAGAAACCCTAAGAAAGCAATCCGGTTCTTAAGGAAAAGCAGAAATGTGGCAAAGAAACAGTTATGGAGCAAGAAGAGATGGGCACTCTGTGATCTTTCTGGAAAATTAAATTCAATTGCACACTATTTTCAAACTTCACTGCATTCTCTTATCACAGTATCTTTACCTCCACTACAAATGTGTCAATTATGTGCTCCTGGGGGAGGAACCAGTGGGCAACTTCCTCCTCATTCATCACTGGGGCTAGGTGAAACTGCTTCAGGTAACTGTTAGTTAGTTCTCGAACTGCTTTGACATCTCTTGGTTCCATTGGTCTCAAGCCTGAAGTCTTCGTGACCTTGTTTGAGTGAAAATAAAACAAATGGGTCAGTTTAACAATAAAAGGAATACAATTGTTGTGCTAAAGTGTGATCTGAGACTAACACTATGGTCAGAACTCATATCTCCAAATCAGAATGTGCAACTTAACAAGATTCCTGGGCGATCTGTAAACATATTAAACTTGGAGAAGCCCTGGGTTAGAACATAAATTAGACAGTGCCCTGTACCTTCTTATCTGTGTGCCACGTCTTGGGTCAGTATTACCATGACCCCAAACTAAGTCAAAGGGAACACTCCAAATCGATCTCTGTACCAAAGCCAAGAATTTTTTATTTTTTTATTTATTTTTTTTTTCCAAAGCCAAGAATTTTAACAGCAGGACTCAACACATGTTCTAGAATATTAAAACTGCTATGTCTGATATCTTGAAAACAGTAGAGAAACCTCTTTTATTCAGCAGCCCCTTAAATGAATAAGGTTATTTTTTTTTTCATAAGCAACAGAAATAAAATGAAAATAAATCACATTGGTCAGAATGGAAAGGCAGGCATTTCACAGGCCAAGTGTTTCTAAAGGTTAGCTGCTAAGCACTGGCCTGGCTTCTCATACCGCCTTTTCAGGAAAAGGTGATTGAGATAGGCATTTGATTCCAGTACTCCAGAGCATCACAATTTTTTACATTTGACTAGAGGAATCAACAAACAAGCAAACAAACAAACTAAAGGTCAGGACAGGTCCCCATTAGGATTTGTGTAGGGACCAATCCTTACAGTGACTCCAGATGACACTTAACTTTCTAAAACTGTGGTGCAGACACCGGGGCACTTGAGCCTGGAAGTGAGAAAGCCCAAATATTTCCTTCTTTGCACAAATAAAAAGTTAAAAACTTAGAAACACAATTTTTTTTTTTTTGGAAAATAAATAATGGAGAAATTTTAAGTGCTAAATAATTTGTATATAAATATTACTACCCTACCTTTTCTGTGCTGTTATTTCTAAGCATTTTACAAAGTATCTGTAAATTAGATCATTAAAATTCCTGCATGCCAAAAAAAAATGTACAAAATGATGTAAAAATAAACATATATATAAAAAAAAAAACTAAAAAAAAAAAATCCCTGCATGCCCCAGACTAGCAGTATGATAGAAGCCAAAGGCAGAAAATAAGTTTACATCTTGAGTGCTAGTTATGACTGACCGTAGGAGTTGTGCCGAGGTTTCTAAGGCTCAGGGTCGAAGAATACTGATTGATTATTCATTAGTGAGGGGGAGGAGATGGAAGATGTGTTCTTTGCATTTACAGATCCAAGAGTTCTTAGCTGAGTATTTACTAATGTCATTCATTTAAGATTTATATAATTTATAACATAATAATGTATCTTTAGTTTGTTCTAAACTGAAAGAACGTTAAGGTCTAAACACTTAATAGAGAACTCAAGCTTTTATCTGTCAATATCAAAGTCTTCCAGTGCCAGCTTCCAGCAAAGGTTTATCCCTTCCTGCAAAGAGGCAACATGGCCTCAACATGTGGTCAGTAAATGACTGAATTCCTTTGTTTTGTACCTTACCCACTTACCAAACAAGGTAAAGGCTGCTGATATGGAAAATGTCAGGTCAGCTTTGAGGAGAGGGCACTTCTATGGCCTGGCATTTATGTGCATGGCAGGTAACACAGACACACATATCATTAAAATTACATGTTTGTGTGTATATGTATCTATAGTTTCCCTCTAAATCAATTTTAATAGTATAGCATTTCTATACTATAGTTCATGGGAAGGGGAAGCATATATGACTTCCAGTGAAATAAATATACATTTCTAAATGTGAGTCTACCTGTATACTCTCCTCCTTAAAAAAGACTTTTTTTACTATGAGGATGACCTTGGTAAATCTTACATAGCTTCCTCAATATTAGACTGGTTTTTATTTTGTTATTGATTCAGTAAAAATCAACAACATCAAGCAATTCAATTAATGAAATCTACAGGATATATGGTATCTGTTAAAAGAGAACATTCAGAAATAAAGAAAAAAGCTTGCCAGCTTCTTTCTGAGCAAAATATTCCTCTGCAGCACAATTCTTATTCATTGAATATTCATATGGCAAATCACTAAAATCAACATCTTTTACCCAGCAGACATGCTTAAAGCAGTTCTCAAATATTTTGGTCTAGAATTCTTGGTTTGTTATGTTCTTTAAAATTAATTCTGTATTCCCAAAAAGATTTGTTTATGTGGGTTACATCTATTTATATTTACCATGCTAGAAATTTTAAAACGGAAGAATACACAAGCATACATTCCTTATAGCTTCTGGAAAACTTTATACTATACTCCTAAGATACAGAAAAATGCAAATTTTATCTTATTATAAAAAGTGTGGGCTTCAGAGATCCCTGAAAAAGTCTAGGGTGCTTCCATGGGTCCATGGGCCACACATTTTGAGAAATGCTGTCTTAAAATCTCTGGAGGTCAGAATTAAGGGTTGTGAAATTCAGATAAAGAAAACTTAGTAAAACAGTATGTTTGGGCAGACAGGCAGGGAAAAAAATATATTAGCTTGGCAATTCATAAGCATATCAAACTAGCTTTTACAGAAACACTAAAGCAGAAGAGAAAAATCAGACTAAACCAGCTATAAAAAAAAAATGACTTTTTTTCCCTTTAGAAAACTGGAAGGATATATTTTTTGGCGGAATAACAATGGCTCATATTATCTCAAAGCCTTCACTTGCCTGTTTCTAAAATCAGAAGCACATACCAGGCATGAAATAATTTTTAAAAAGCAAAATCAACGCTCAATCGATAGCTGTTGTCTTCAGGAAGAGACAAGGAGAACATCAGGGTCTAGATAAAAATGGCAAGTTTTGGCAAAATCAGGAAAAATGAAGTGTCAGTGTTTGCTGAGAGTTCAAGAACAAGAAAAAAATTACCACAATCAGAAATGCTTTCCCAGGTTCAATTACTTATGCACTATGTGTTAGATTCTATATATTGGAATCTGTCTAAGATCTACTTACACAGTTCCTGAGAAAATAAGGCCCAGACTCTATTAACAAGCAGAAGCAGGGTTGACCTGTGTCAAACTAGGTGGCATGAGCTGTTCTAGAGCCAAGACTCCAGAATATAGCTGCAGACAATATTTACAATTATTTTTGTTTAAAATGGAACAAAAGGCTAGTATACACTAAAATATCATCCATTGCTACTAAATCTAGCAGAACATCTGTGTCTCAGTGTGTCTTGGCAAAGCTTACCCTTCTCACACGTGAGAAGTCGTTTTTATCTACTTCAGAATCCTTCACCTTGGAGAGTACTGACAAGAAGAAAAAATGACAACTTTGGAAACGTTCATCAAAAACTAAAACAAACTGACATTTAAAGGGTATATATGTCACTACTGGAAAAATCTCAGTAGGTTAGCTAACAGAAACTAAAGGAGCGGGCTCTGGGATGGTTCTGTCCTGACTAGAAGACTCTAGGCCTATCAGAGCCAACAGGAGCAACCTGCCCTCCCAGCAAGCAGGAACCATACCTGAAGCTATGGACGTGAGTGTCACTCAGTTTAACTCTCATAATCAGAAGTCTGTGAAGGCCTGAAGCAGTAACAGTAGTGACAAATCAGATAAGGAAGTCAATCCCTTCAGTAAAAGTTACATTCAACAAGGTTTTTCTTTTTATGCTTCTGGTACAAAATGTTCTTAAATGAGACAACTGCTGGCAGTGGGTGAAAAGACCATCTGACCCTGACAAAAGGAGGCAGCCTCGTGAGGCTTTCCTCTTGCGTGCTGAGCGGACCTGTGACTGGTTCCTAACTCGTCAAATACAAGTGACCAGATCTCACTTGTGTGAACTAATTACAAAAGGTTTTAAATTCCATCCTACCAGCAGATTCATGGTAGAATCTGTCCTCACTGGCTTTGATAAAACCAGCTGCGATGTTATGAGCCATCCCAAGGCCAAGAGAATCCACACAGCCAAGTATAAAGGCAGCATGCTGCCTCCAAGGAGCCATGTCCAGCTGTCCACCAGGTGCATCTCTAGTTTGAGTTCCTAGATGAGGCCCAGCTGTGGTGGACACCTTGACAGCAACTTCATGGGAGACCTGGAAGCACTTACTTTGACACTGACCACAGCAGATGTGCTATTTCCAACAGTTGTACTTATGCTAATTGATAACTATTACGCCATCCAAGCTCCGAATAAAGCCAAAACTGGTAAGCACATGTAATCTTTCCCACATTAAAAGGCAATTTTTCATAATTAAAAGTTGCCAGTTAAAAACAGAATTTAGTAAGACATTATTTTCTCCGCCAGGTCTTTACTTTATACTCTTTCCCCTATTTCTACTACATAAAATAGCATTAGAAGGCTGACATTTCTTCCCTCTTACCAGACCACAAACACTCAAAATTTCAAAACTTCAATGTCTTGATTTCAATTTCACCCCATCACAAACTCAGTTATCTTAAAAAGCTTAGAAAAAAATTGTTATTTCCAAATGAGCATCCTAAATTTTCCTACCCCTGGAGTTCTATCTAGTTTTACAGAGTCTTTTTAGCTACAAATTCCCTCCCTGAGGCATGCGTTCATTTTTTAAGACTCCTGCAAAAAATTATTTTCTACATTAAAAATTTCATTTGTTGTAGCTTAAAAAAACTGCAAATCATTCTTACTTACATCCGGGAGTCTGTATAGCTTCATTGTTCTCTGTAAAGTCATATTTCTACTCAAGTGAGAAAATTTCACTTCTACCAATTTTCTGGGGTTTAGTGATCGATGCCAGTATCTGAAATACAATAAATATTTAAATCTCTGATTGATTTCTAATTCTACAAGTTTTTACTCTTTGTGCCAGTGTTCATTAAATGTCACAGAAGCACTCAATGAACACCCACGTTGTGCCTAGTACAGTGCCAGAGTTTTAGCCTCTTCCTAAGCAAAGTGATTTTATCAATCACTTTGGACCTCTGAAATACATTCAGCATTCTGAATTATGGCCCTTTGTAGTGCGGGACTTTTTAATCTCTATGTATAAAGAGGAATCTTAAAAACAAAAAAGAAAATTCATAGTGCCCAATTTCTAATAATAATTTTATAGAAACATGAAATCATCCTCCCTAAATGAGGGGGCATCATACTTTTAGAAAGAAAACAACTTTCTGAGAAAGAAACTTGTATTTCTTAAATAGTTCCAGTTTAAGTACTGGGATAAATGACTTTATATTAAAAATATACCTATGAAGGCCTATACCCTATTTATGAATAATTCAACAGGCAAGAGTGATTTTTACTGTTTTACCTTTTACACCATGTTTAATCTGAAGTTTCATCTTATGTCAATAAAAATAATGGAGGGAAATGAACTGTTGCTTTAGAATTAGGTTAATCAAGTGACAATGTGATAAAAACTTTTCTCACTGGATTAACCTCTGGGAGCTTGGAAGGGTAGGGAAAGACAGCCTTCAGAGCCTCCACCTTTTCTTGACTCTTGGAAAACAATTTTTCAATTGCTGTACGTTGAGCTTTCAGAATAGTTCCTGATAGCTCTTCTGAGCACAGCCTAAAAGCTAAGTGTTTGGAGAGAAAATAGTAGTATTGCTCGACATTTTAAATACACAGAGCCCTGGGTTTTTCCAAAGGAGAGAGAACACTAGTCTTTCAAAATGAAGAAAAACAGAATTACTAGCAGGAACATGTTAAAAACTCTTTTTAATCACCCAGCAGTGAATGGCAGACTGAAGAGAATACTGGCTCAGCAGCTCTTGGTTCTAGTCTCCATCTCTGTGACAGAATCAGGGGTAAGACAAAATCCCTCTGAGTTTCCCAGGAGGAGAATAAAGCTTCAGGTACCCAGCAGTGTGGAGACACACCGAATGAAGGTAAAATGTGGCACTGTCACCTGCATGTGGCCACTGGCTTAGGAAGGACCACTCCAGCAGTATAAACAGCTTGAAAAATCCCCTCCAGGTTCACTCTTCTGGTTATTTCTCGAATTAACACTGGAGCCACCCGCTTGGATCTCAATTTCTTATGAACACAGAGGAAGTTTATTTCAACCATCTTCTTCACGCTAAAAAAGGGTTAAAAAATTAGAGTAAATTGTGATGAGAACATTTCAAACATTAAGACAACATTCACAAAATTTCAAAGACCAATAAATAAAGACTATTAAAGTGACTCCCCTTTAATACAATATGTAAGGAAAGCATTCTATTACTCAGACATGTCACAAATTCAGATGAATACACTTTTCCCCACAGTCCTCTGCCAAAATGATTCTAATACTAGGCCATGAAGACATAGCCCCTTGGTTCTAAACAAATTTTGGGATTTTGGTTTTTATTAAGTTTTCAATTTACAAACAGGATCAGAGATGCCTCAGTTTCTGCATCCATTTTTACCTAGAATGTATACAACTATGGCATTAATTGGGTTGTCTAGATGCAAAACCTAGTAAGATGCAATTCCTAGGATCCCTGAAAGTTCCCTGACCAGAATTGGTGCTTTTCTGTGCTTCACAGCCCATTTTCTGCTCTCCTTCCAGAGATGCAGGCATTTGATTTGGCATACAATATGTACTGAGCACAAACGTTTTCAGCAGAAAGTAAGTTAACTCAGTATAGTGCAAGGTAAACATACCTATTATACATTAGATCTTTGACTTTCGTGGATTGATCTTTAGCTTTCTGGGCTGGAGGCTCAGAACAAAAATGGAACATATTTATGATAGATACAATTTTTTTTGCCCCTAGAATTTTTTTATCCTTTATGAAATAAACCTAAAATACCTATTTATTTATTTGTTTATTCTGGTACATACATAGATATATGGGTGTATGTATGAGAGAGAGACACATCTGTGTGTGTGTGTGTATGTGTGTGTGTACGTGTGTGAGATTGAGAGGTAAAGAGAAAAGATGGCCAAAAAGCAGCGTTCCCATTTAACTCTCACTTTGCCTCTGCCCCATATAACCTCTTCCACTATCAACAGTCTGCATTTATTCATTTTTAAAAGGCTTTTTATAATTACACAATTCTTGGAAAAACAACACTTAAAAGCAACATGGACAAGCTTTAATGCATACCTGTCATAAATCCGAATGTTTGCTGGGATGGCACTTATGAAACCTACTAATTTTTTGTTTGAAGACACTCTGACCCCACAATGCCACTGAAGAAGCCAGCCGGGGGGACGCAGAGCCCTGAAGATAATGCAGGGAGAGCAAGCAGCTGCCAGTTAGTGTTAAGAACACAGGGAATGAATCAGCCAGGAACACCCCCACCCCCAGCACGCCTGAAGATGGGGGCTTACCACAATAGGAACTCAGGTGAATAGTCAAAGCGGAACATGTTGTCGTCATCTTCCACATAATTCTCATTCAACAAGGTGTATAACTCCTTGAGCTACAAGAACAAACAAGTGTCCTATCTATGGTGCTCAGAACCGCCTCAAACAATTTTTGTAAATGTAGGTGTCAAATGTAAGAGTCTGACTCACCACTTCAGCATTACCCAAATCTAAAGTGTCCCACATAAAACCCTGTGGCAAGGAGTACGGCTCTTGTCGTACATTGTCTTTATCTGCTTCAATTGCACCGTGGGAGGTTATTACTTCATCTAGAGAGGAAGAAAAGAGCACAGAAAGATGGAATATTCAACTGTAAGGTCTTTTCACAATCTAAGTTGGTCAGCTATGTGAAGAAGAATCATTTTTAGGAATCGGAGGCTTAATAAAATCTTTAAAATATTCTTTAGGTAACTATTTCAGTGACCTAATGGTAGCTTAGTAGTGGTTGAGAATCACTACTCTTTCATCAGGAAAGAAAAGAACCCTATATGTCATCTGATGACATCCTGAAGTGATTGTGATTTCTCAGTCTCTACGCCATAGGTTCCAGATTAATCAGAAAGGCAGTACCACTGCATGCAACTAGGGTTAACGACACAGCCTTAGAGTGACTGTTTTTTTACACTGCAATCCAATAAATTGGGGGTGGAGGACTGCAGTGGCCACTGACCCCTCCCAAATTCTAAAGTTAACCTCAGAAGTGTTTACGCCTCTCCATCTAAACTGCTGGTAGAGCACCTCAAGTCATCACTGCCTTGAGCTAAGAGTGTATAAACAGCAAAACTCCATAGAGCCCAGAACCAAAAAATAGGGGTTGGGGGATATATTCTCTTTTATATCTACAATATCTTTACTATACTAACATTAAAATAGGAAACAGGATTTTTTTAAATAGGGGTAGGAAATAGTCTAAAAAGAATCACTGAAAGCCAACATTATCACCCAATACTTATATTTTAAGAAGAAAAATATTACTTTTGTGCACATTTCTAGTCTGTGGTATGAACCTTGTCCCTCTGGGGCTTTTTGTTTGCTATTAATCTAGTTTTGGTTTTCTGGAAGGGGGGCTGTGAGCAGAAAAGCTTACTTAGTTTGGGTACCGGCTGTGTATCCCAAAACTGGTATCTATGTTTGGCAGCCTCATCAATGTTCCTGGCGGGGCCCTGGCATGCGGATAACAGCTCCATTGCTCTCTGGATATCCTGCAACTTCTGCATTGGAAAGGTGGGATTCTATAACAGCAAAAACACAGAGACACAAAAGATGAGGAAGTCGCCACTCTGCTTCAATACCTGGGGCAGGTACATGTGTATCTGCCTAGGAGAATAAAACATGGAAAAAATGAACCACCCTCCTGTAAGCTGGCCAGGACCTTGACCTTGAATATGCTAATGTATTCAACGATAAGCACGCTCATCATGTTAAAGATAACAACTATTCTACAGTTTGAGTGGGGGCAATGACAACTTGGGAAATTTAATCAAAATACCCTTGGCTTCATTTTCCCACCCATCTACCAACAGCCCTCACCATCACTGTCTGGGTGGAAAGACAAACCCCAGTGGCATGCAAAGCGCACATTCTATCCCACAGCAGCCAGCGAGCCACCAGCCGCGGTTTCACTATCGGGGGAAGCTCTGCAGCAGCAATGGGGGGGATGAGGGGTTGGGGTGGGAGTGGGGGCAGCAAAAGAAATAACCTCCAGAATGGAAACTAGGTAGAGGGGAGATTTTAGCTCATAAACAACACACACACACAAAGAAAGCTGTGCTTAGTGCTGAGCTGGGAAGGAAGCTAATCAAGAAAGGAAACCTGAAAGGAGGCCTCCTCCTGAACATGCTCTACCCCCACCTCAGGCTCCTCCAGAGACAAGCCTTCCAGGGAGAGGGCTGAGCAGTCTCCACAGATCACGTCCTTGGCAACTTACGTGTTGGAAACTAACTTCCTCTTTGTGTAAAACATAGTTTCAGTCTATAAAATTAACAACTCTAAATTCTCAAGTTTTTCCTCAAAACCAACATTCTTGTCATCAAAAAAGAAGCCTCAGCTTTCAAAAAAAATTCCTCAAGTAGCATAATAGTACATTGAGAATGAGACTATCTCGAAATGAGAGAGGAAGATGTAGGTCGGATATGGAAATCAGTCAGTCTTCTCAATACGTGAAATAACCAATTAATTTCCTAATTCTGATGCCACACATAGCATGCGCCCCACTGTGGTGCAGAGGTGGTTAGGAGGAATGCCGGAGCCCTGGGTTTCCTGTAAGTGGACACACGAGGGATCCTCGATGATAAGCAGTACTTTAGTTAACTTTAAATCTGAAGTCTGTGGTCTGCAGCAGACTATTAAAAATGGGAGCTCACCTGTTTGACCAGTACAAAAAGGAGTTTGTTTACTGGCTTGCCTTTTGATTTTATAAAGATTAGAAGCAGCACAAAGCAAAGAATGCAACTTCTACAATATAATGAGTTTGACAGCTTCCCTCCACCCCCACCAAGAAAACAGGATTTATTTCATAGGGAATGTCCTGTGATTCTTTACTTACTAGATTTCCTAGGAGTCTTGCCACTAACATGATTCAAGGAAATTAAGTGCTGGACTCTAAGGAGATGCAGTTGAAGCCTCAGTGTCTCCATGCACACACCTGGCAGCACTCACCACACAGTTCTGCCACCCTGGGGCTGCTTCACTTATATCTGAATTAAGGTCTAAGTGGCAAGGGTCATACCTCACACACATGAACACAACAAACTACTTTTGCTGTTCTCATAGGGTATTTTTTTTCGGATTTTTCTTGTTTGAGCGCCAACAAAGAAGTAACTGATTTTAGTAAAATGAAACTCAGTGTCTGAATATCCACCAACACACTATGTGAGGAAACCTACCTCTTCAATGAGAACTCAAAGCTCCGATATTTCAACAATAATGCTTGAACATGCCTGTGTTTATATTCTTTAAAAAGGCAAAGTAGAACTCAGCCTTACAAAAATACACCTACAATGCCTGCACTGAATTTGTCATGGTAATTCTCCACTCCTCACATTTGATTTAGGTCCTCCATCTAGCATACCCAACAGAGACTGTTTTGCAACAAACATGAATCAGCATCTTTGCTCCAAAGGAGCCAAGGATCCCAATTCCAAGAAGTGGACTTAGTGTGGTTTCTACCCCACTGAGCTAGCCACGTTAGGCTGGCCAGCATTCATGAATGGCCATTCATGAAATATTTATATCCCAACGCTCACAAGTTTCTTAAAGCAAATTTAAGTAAGCACAAGTTTCGAGTTCTTGGTGACAAGTTATAAGGAAAACTCAGTTATGATAAACCTATCTATTCACCTTTCATAGTGGCACCACCTAAGGAGAAATGAATTAGTGTTAGGCAAGGTGAGACTGTGTATCAACCCTGCACTAGTTCCCCACCATTACAGTCCTGTAAGATAATGGCCGTCCACATTTGCTTCTTGGGGAATATTAACAACTGTACTCTCCACCCATTATTTTCCAATGTTAATAACTTGGTTACTATCTTCAAAGTCTGTCCTCTACCACTAAGAAGTCTACAAGAATCCAGACAAATATTTTATTTTGGTTCTTGAGTATAGGCCAGAATATTCTCTAAACACAGTTCACTATAATTTATGAAGCTATCTAGAGCTGGCATCAGCTTAAGGGAAAGTGGCTTTAGTTTTCAGAAATACAATGGAGAAAAGCCCACATTAAAACAATTTTGACTTGCTCTTAAAAAGAAAGAGCTCTTCTACCATATAATGCTGACTGTGTCCCCACCTTGGTAGCTCCCAGATCCTTCTAAGGGATTAGAGGCAGGGAAGACTCAAGGCCATCAAGGGTGTAGACGTGGGTGAAGCTAATGGTGATGACAGAAGCAACGGAAATGGCCACACCTGCATATAAGTAACCTGCCCTTATCGGATGGAGCCACATTTAAACATGGAGAGCTAATCTTGTGAGCTGAGGGGCTACTTTATAGGCGTTGCCTTTTAAATTGCATCTGGTGGAGAAAATAGCTATTACCTGAGAACCAAGTTGAAAATCTAGGGAGGAAAACTCCCATTTTCTTCTTACCCCACAAAGGTAGTTGCGAGGGGATGGGGGAGGGTGGAAAACTGAGGCAAGTCATTTTCCTTCACAGTGATTCGGGTTCTTATGTGTAAAACAGATAACAACAATACCACTACCTGTAAAACTTGCTTCATGACAGTGTAAACTGTGTCCAGGAAAAAAATTAAACCCCACATTGAAACAACAACCATGTGTTATTTGCCTTAAATGTATAAGTCATCTCATAAAATGATCTAACTCCAACCTCCTAACAGTCCTGTGAACTGATGGAAAGGGCTCATCCTGTCTTTCTTGCAAATGAAGAAATGGGCTGAGAGCAAAATCTGGTGCAAAGACACAGAGCTTGTGAGCCACACAGTCAGGTCAGCCTGGGGTTGACCCACCAGCTCCTGAGTCCTTTCCATCACACCACAACACTGCAACTTTCAAGGTCAAATTTCTTCCCGTATAATTCTAACTTCATCTTCCCCTTTGCACTGTGAGATTTTTTTTTTTTAATCAAGAGAGCTCTGTGCTTCCATAAGCAGCAGAAAAAAACTGCTCACAGCCAGGGGCCTTGGGGCTGGCCCCACAGAGAAGGACGCCTGCCATCTGCACCACTGACCACACAGCAGGCTGGCCATCTGCCAACACAGGGCCCCTTGTGGTTTCCTCTATAATGGGTGTTTCTTCAGGAGGAGTGTCAGGAGTTATTTCCCCCCCTTGGCAATGGAATTAAGAATGGCCACTGAAGACTGGTCTGATTCAAAGTCAACGTAAGACTTACCCGTGACTGCTCCCGCTGAAATCTGCTGCCAGATGGTGTTGTGCTATTCAGGTAATTAGACAGACACCCAGAAAAATTAAAATGTGAATATCTTCTGAACTAAAAGTAATCAAATATTAAGTGTAACTTAAAAAAAAAAATGCAAAAAAACAACAAACTCCTAAGAAACTCACATTGAGGCTTTTTACAATCTAAGTACTAATTCAAAACTGAGAAAGGGGGGAAATACAGGCAGAATCCACATCCACACAAAAACACAGGATGTACCCCTAAATTATCTGGGTGCCACAGCCAGTTTAGGGAGGCTGTAATACCCTCGTTACTAGTGCCACTTGGTACTCACAACAAATCCCTAACTGCCCTGGGATTCAACAGAGCTAAACTCACAAACCCGCTCTCCCGTGCACGGGGACCACAGAGGTTAAGTCACACAGGGCTCTCACTTTTGAAGGCTGCTGAATTTTAATCTCCTGGGAGTCAGATGCTGAGTCTGACTTGGTGCCTCCGGAATTTGGTTTCTCCTTTTTTCTCTTCTGTTTCTTCTTTTTCTTTTTGGCACCCAAATCCCCTCCAGGACTTCTGTTAGGAAATTCACAGAAGGTAAAACAACAAAAAGTCATCATGCAAAATCTGGAGTGAATAAAGCAATCAATTAGAAAAGCACACTTAAAAAGCAGAAAAAAAATCAGGATATACATGGGAGGTAATATTCAGTCAGATCAGGAAGTTAACATGACAGGGAATTTGGAAGAATTAGTTGACAGTCATATCACAGGTGCTTAGACGTCATTTAAGCAGGAAAATTGTAGCTATAAACTATATTTTATAACAAAAGTGAAACAGTTTCCACAATTTTTACTATCCCACTAATCTACTCTTTAGTCAGCCTCTTAACAGAGAGATGCGTGCTATAAAAATTTTCATTTATAACATCTCTTGAGTACATCAACCATTAGTCTTGCTATAACTGAACCAAAGAAATTGTTTCTCTGCAGAGGGCGATATTTTTCCTGATAGAGATATTTTACTAGAAAAATTAAAAAGAGAGAGAGAGAGAAAAACCAAAACATTAACTGGCAGAACATTTCTGCTTGAAATCCTTGTCATCTACAGCTGTCAATTTCTGAATGCACGAATGAAACACTAGTAGATCTCACACCTGCATTTCTTTGGGCATATTCCTCTGGGTTCCGAGGAGGTAAATGAAAATCCAGAGTCAGAGCCTATGGCATCATAGTAGGGGAAAATGATGAAAGCTATCAGCTCCATTCTTGTGTTCTCAATCAGTCCTATTTGTCCCTACACACTTTCTTTTTTGAATTTTTACCTAATTAAAAAAAATCAAATAAGACTCAAAGGTCATTAATATATATTGACAACCTTCCAACATTGTCTTTAAAGGCAACCAATAGTTTGTTGGTATATATTCTACCAAAACTCTCTCCTCTAATCATGGCAACATTTTTACAATAAACTTACATAAAATTAAATTTCAAACATGTGATTTTAAAATTTGCTTTTTGTTCCCTTCAACATAACAATTTACCTTGGATGTCTTTCCACGTCAGGATAAACTAAACTGTCTCTTTTTCTTTTCAGCAATTGGAGAACAGTCCCTTGAGTAAACACATGGTTTTTATTTAGCTATTTCTGTATTAAAAATGTTGTTATGAAAACAATATTCTGATACATCATTATGTATTTGTGCTAGTGTGTCTAAAGGTGAAATGCTAGATCAAATGGCATGCACATTTTTTGGTCTCAATAAAATAATTATGACCGCTTCACTGAAAACTATACCAAGTCCCACTCCACCAAAGATAAATCCAGTTTCTGGTTCTGCTTATAAGCAGCTTGGAAGTTACCACTCCACTCTAACAACTAGCAAAAAGCTGAACAGATTGGAACATTAACAATTCTTTTTGGGTCCCTAAGAGGTGAGGACACAGGACAAACTGGTGCCCCTAAAATTGGAGAGACAGAGATGACTACAGGGAGCAGAAGTGTCCCATGGTGGAGACCTAAAGAGGACGCTGCCTGGGAAGTCAGGACCCTCGCTGAAAAACTCGCGCTGTAGGTACTGCAGGGTGGACAAGTCTGAGGGTCAGGATGCAGCACTGCAAGTGAGCTGCTTCAGTGCGAGTTCAATTCCAGCCCGAGGTGACCCACAAGGCGCCGCAGACCTCTCCTGACTGGCCCGCTGCTCCCCTCAGCAGTGTCCTTCATTAATTTGCCTGTTCTGTTCCCCACTCTGTCTCTGGTGAACCCTCTCACCGCCCCTGCACCTCTGGCCTGTGCCCTGGTTCTGTATGCATAAATAAATCTTTTTAAAAAATAAAATTACATTAAAAAAAAGAGATTTATGTATTTATGCATAAAATAACTGGGGTACAGGCCAGAGGTGTGGAGGGTGAGAGGATTCACCTGAGATGGAGTGGGGAGCAGAACAGGTAGATGTTCTGAAACACACTGCTGAGGGGAGCACTGGGCAAGACAGGAGAGGTCTGCTGTGCCATGTGGGTGGCTCCCTGGCTAGGGACTGAACTGGTGCTGCAGTGGCTGAAGATAGCTTCATAGAGCTGTGCTTAACCCCTGTGCCACCAGGAAGGTCCTGTAGAGAGGAATCATTTTGAATTAAGCCAAAAACACTGTTCTTCTTAACAAGGCTCTCAAAAAAGACACTAGTTAGTTGGAGCCTCACCTACCTGGGTATCATCAGAGCGTAACAGATTTGGGGGAGGGAGTACCTAATGCTAGCCTGCTCTAGCCACCTATCCCTTGTAAGTAGAGAGAAGAAAACTGATGAACACTTGAGAAGTTCAGAGTTCAGAGTCACAAGCTTACAAAAACTATTGGGGCCAAAACCTTTGAAGCCTCTCCTCTCCCTATCCCCCATACACACCTTTCCTATACATAACTAATGGCCTATTTACAGGAGTTCCAGTTACATGGGCTTTTATGTCTATCAATCAAGAAAATATAACAAGGCATATTAAAAGGCCCAAAACATAATGGGGGTGAATAAAACAGAGCATGCATCAGAACTAGCTGCAGTAGGAATGTTGAATTATCAGACTAGGAATTTATAACAACGATAATCAATAAGCTACAGCTTCTAAACAGATAAAGGAGGAAGCAGGCAAAAGCAGATGGGCAATGTAAGTTGCAAAAAGGAAATGATAAGGAAAAAACCAAGAGGGAATGTCATTAAGATCAAAATCACTGTAACAAAGATGAAGAATGCTTTTGATGGGCTTATTGGTAAGCTGGACACAGTTGAGGAAATCTCTGAGTTTGAGGAAAAAGCACTGAAAACATTAACAGAAATCTCCAAAACTAAGAATCAAAGAGAACAGAGACTGAAAAAATGAACAGAATATCCAAGGACTGTGGACAACTATAAATAGTGTAACATATAATGGGAATACCAGCAGGAAAGAGAAAAGGAACAGAAGAAATATTAGAAACAATAGTGGCTGAGAATTTCTCCAGGTTTAAGTCAGTGCTAGACACTAAGCCACAGAGCCAAAAAGGTCGGAGAACACCAGGCAGAATTAATGCTCAAAAACTACACCTAGGCATATACTTTTAAAGCTATCAAAAATCAAATATTAAAAAAAAATAAAGAATTCTGAAATAGATAGTGGAAAAAAAAACCTTAGAGGAGCAATGTAATAGTCTGACAGTCTTACAGTAGAAAAAAAAAGGGGGGTTATACCTCTTTTTATGTGCAACACTGATCATTTATATTTTCCCCTAAATTGCTCATTTATATTATACCACATTTAGAATATTATTAGTC